AAAAACAAAAAGACAAAAAACAAACAAACAAAAAATTAGGAGAGAATGATATTGTTTTAAAAACTAATTAAGTAGATCCTGACCTTTCAAAATGCTCCTGATTGACATCTTTACCCACTTCCTTATCTAACATCTTCAGTTTCCAGTTTCTGGCTCGACGCCTCTTCTTCTTATCACTATAAGATTTCTTTACCAGGATCTGACAGAAAAGGTGGAGAAAGAATGAAAAAGTGCAATGCATCAATAAGACAACACCTTGAGTTACATGTTATATACTCTCAAAAAATATTTAATGAAGCCCATGGCTCGTAAATGTATAAATTGAAAAGAAAAAGAAAAAAAAAAAGAGAGCCCATAGAAAAACCCTCAAATAACAGGCCAGGCTCGATCAACAATCTATACTCTAATAATGCCATGTACAAATTATTAAAATTGAAGCCTAACAGCCCAGAGGTGAGACGTGATGCACTACTGTTACATTAAACACCACTGTTTCTTAGAGAACTTGATTTGTCATAGGTGTTTGGTTTGCATATCAATTTTATGAAGAGGTTGGTTGGGTGTGTCAACATGGGCATAGACCGTCTTTGAGCAAATTTGTAGATAACTATTACTTTAGCAAGAAAAAGATTAAAACTCACTACATCAGGAATCTTATCTGGACTCATTTTGTTCAAATTTTCATCATTTATGTTGGTGCTGGTGAAATCATACCTGAAAGAAAATCACAATGAAATACTGTAATTTTATAATATATATTTTATATAATTATATATTTATTTGAGGTCCCTTCTGTAAACCACTGATTGTGATCAGTGACCATCCTCATTAAAGATGATTTATTATATATTATTATAGAATCCGTGAAACTTTAGTAATACTAAATAGCACAATGTCTTGCAAATTCCATTGTTTTCTATTGTTTAATTAGCACTATTTTGTACTATTTAGTAATTAGTGTTTCACGGATTACGTGTAATTGTTTGCACTCTATTAATAATATTTATGTATAATTATGGTAATTATGGTGCAATGTTTTTCCATTTCAGACCACGTGTCATTCCCCTGAGAATAAGATTCTTTGTTTCAGTTGTATCCATATTTGAGGATCTTCTTATTCATGACTTTTAAACAAAGAAATGATACTCTAATGAATGAATGGTTTGAAATTGGAATTCATTGCAATCACCACAAATAAGGTCTATTTTCATCCTGAATTTTAAGGAGGAAAGTAAGAAAACTCAAAGAAGAAACCTTGTGGCAAAAGGGAGAACATAACACCAAACAAACTCAACTCACATGCCAGATTCAGCTACATAGTGTTGAGTGTTAGTGAGTGTAGCACTCTGCATGCCACCACAGGGTTTTCAATAACCAGCTTAGGTAATAAGCAAAATGTAATAAATAGGAGGAAGCAGCAAGCAATTTTTTCTCATGTTTTCCCTAAATTTTGGGAAATTTTAGCCAATATAGGCGGCAAGTTGATGTAAGACACCTGGCAAGATTCGCTGGCTACCAGCTACTATTGAGAACTCTGCACCAATGTCATGGGATTTTTGTTAGGTGTAATGGAGTACTACCGTACTAACCCTAAAGCTATATCACCAGGCTTCAATATTAGTCCCAGATGTGTTCGGCAGTGGTACTGTTGGTCATTAGAGCCCATATCTTGCATCTTTGCTAACCACACATCAGCAAGGACATGCTGTAAGATATTTATAACATTTATACATACACCCATATACAAACGGTCACAATGTAATGGAACACCAGTGTTTGTAATACGTAACTTAATCTAACACTATTGCATTACAAATCCTATTATGAAGTGACCGTTGGTATATGGGTGTATTGAGTTACGATCATTATGTATCATAAAATAACTGTTATGAATGTTGTGCTCTGATTGGTTTGGATCGCGTGCTTTAGGAGAACACATTGTATTTATAAAAGAAATAAAAAAACTTGCTTGCTGTGCTGTGTGCAGTCATAAAGCACTTGGGGATTGGCAGAACACTCGAGAAGTGTCCAGAAGCACTCCGCTACGTGTCATGCTTCTCCTAACACTTCTCTCTTGTTTTGCCAACCCCCGCGTGCTTTATGACAGCACACAGCACACGCACACGTTTTCTATTTCTTCAATGTCATCAAGATATGAAACGTGATCCTTTTACCCAATAAGCATCACCAAGCCAGGTGCCCTGTGGTCTGATCCCAAGTTACATATAGTACAAAGCAAACAAAGAATATAATAAGTTTGTGGTACATCTAGGAGGACCCCATGTGCCTTTGGAAGACTATAATTGATGTCCACCAAAAAGTCAGTTTGTTGGAGCAGCAAATTGTACCATGTACATGCTATTGTACCATGCATGTCTGATTTGGAAGCACTGTAGAGTAGAGTATTTATTTTAGACCACGATTTTCTTGTACTTTTCATAGATTTTTCTTTTGTTAAAAATCTTTTTGAAGATTGATTATACTTTTCTTTTTGGACAAGGGAAAAAATGGCCTAAGTAAACTAACAATGTAATTAATCTCTACCTTTGCACTGAGGTTTGATATTGAAGCATTCTTGTTCTGGTTTTCAACTGGTTCAATTTGCAGCACCATGTACTCTGTTAAGCTTTTATGAGACCCTAAGCTCTTGAAGGGTGCTCTCCAATACACATTTGCAGGAATCTCAGCCACTTATCAAGACAAGATTTTAAAATGTTGTTAGTTTTGAACTCCATGGGATACCTGTGTTATTAGTTACCACAGGCAACCCATCACAAAAATCATTTGTGCACAATCAGGCTTACCTTGTAAAGTAGCGGGATCAATAAGCTGTAGCGATGTTGTAACTTTATTACATATCACCATTTGCCTACCATTGACATAAAGGTTTTAATAATTAATAATTAAAATTGAAAAATGACTAAAAAGTTGCTAAATGTTCAAGAAATTGTATTTTTCAGAGTGAAGCACTAGTGACACCAAATTGGTTAGCAGTCATAAGCACAATTAAAAGTAAAAAGAAATAAAAAAATTGTAGAAGTGTTTTAGGACTGGCAAATAGCAAGTTAGTAATACCCACTTAATCAAGTATCATCTTACCCGATGTTTCCTAATGATCGTGCAAGCTTCAGTGGCAAGCAAACAACTTCTGCCTTTAAAAAAAATAGATAATACATGCTGTAAATCTACAGATTTAAAAACTGATATGGTTTTACTATGTTACATATAGAACATGTATTAATGCATCAGGTAAGATTCATATGATCTATGTTTTCAAGAACAATATAATGGTTTTAAAAAAATAGAAAGAATAAGATAATGAAAATTTCTCCTTGAGGAATAGAAATATCTTGTCATACAAAAACATTGCATTTTTGCTACCCTAGCTGAGATACCTATAGTAACAAAACTCTGGTACTCACCCTACACATTGGAACTATTTCCACTGAGAAGGTGTACTTGTAGTTATAAGTATTGTTGTGGATATCATGGGAAATAAGCTTTTCTGAAGTCTTGTACCTAAAAATAAATAATTTAAAAAATTTAAAACCCATGCATGTACTCACTTGTAAACATGCACTCATACAATCATTTATCATCTTTTATTATTCATCTGTCCATTTGTTCATTCAATCATTCAGTCACTGTCACTAAATCATTCATTTATTCACACACTTAGTAATTGGTCATCTATCTGTCTGTGTGTCTGTCATTCCTTCATTAAATTATTCATTCACTCTGCACACACCCACTCAGTTTCATTTACATGTCCGTCTATCATTTCTTAGTTCGTTCATTCCTCCATCATCAGTTCAATTATTTATTACGTCATTCAGTTTGTCTGGGTGTGAGCCATTAGCCCTTCCAAGGTTGACAACAAAACTGACCGTTCAAGTTGGCATTACAGTGCACTGTGTGACTGTTTAAAAGGACAAAACAGATGCCATCTCTGAAATATGGTATGTATACCTCCTAAAGAGTCATACAATGCCAACTTACCCAGTTTATTCCTCAACCTTGGAATGGCTAAAACATGAGCAACACAAATGCAAACGCAAGCAATGTTCACACGTGCAACGCAAATGCAAGTAAATTAAGATACGCATGCGCAGTAGTGCTTGTTTATAGCTCACACGTATTTTCCTTGCATTTGCATTTGCATTGCTGGTGTGAACCAGGCTTATTACTGCAACATCACATTTATTTCATGACTAGCTGTGCATGACATACCTACAAGGTATAACTGATTGTAAAAATTCTACAAATTTTCTGGCATCTTGCTTAGATGCAAAGTAGAAGTCAACACCATCTGAAATGAAAGAATCACATTTATCTTATCAGTAAGAAACATAAAATCAACCTGTATCTGTGACTGTCTAGACTGGTTTAGAAAATTAAAACGAAAATGAAAAAAACAAAATTACATAATCTAATTTTTAAAAATGAAAAATTATACCTGATTCTTGTTTGACTTTTACTGCTTTTTCATGAACATTATGCTTAATTATCAGTTGTTCCAAGTACAAGAATGTCTTTTTATGGGTAACCTAGAGTAATAAAGCAAGAAAAATCAAACAAATAAACAGAAAGCTCATCAAAGATGTACGTCATTTATATTACCTCTCTATAAATAGTCTATACCTCATGAGCTTGAACATGATATTTTCTTACATTTCAGACCATGTGTCATTCCCTAGAGTATGATTTTTGTGCATACACGAGACACATGAATATGGATAATACATTATTCAAACAAATAATCTTATATGACATCCAGTATAGTCTGAAATGGAAAAACATTGCTAAAGCAGTCTCAAGGTGAAATAAAAAACTATAATCTTGATTGACTTATGCTTGTTATTGTTTGATTTTAGATATCAAAATGCTTCCGTTACACTTCATTCATGATTATCATATATGATCTAATTAATAATTAACAGCTGCTATAAAAGATAATGACTTATTTATGAATTATGATTAATTAATGTGTAATATATCAGACCTTCTGTCGGACTTGTACTGTGGCCTTCCAGAAGTCTTGAGCTGCTCTTCTGTGACAAGTATCACACATCTGGGACTGTACTACAAACTCTACTACAAACACTTGTTGTAAGATAGTGGAATTCATCACCTGAAAATCACCATGATTGAAAAGTAATCTTTTGGTTGATTGACTGATTGATAAATTGGCTAATTCATCCATCCATTCACCCATCCATGTATCTGTCTATTGATCTTCTGTCTGCCCAAGAGCCTATTCATCTCTATCCATCCATCCATTCATCCATTTATTCTATCCATCCATCCATTTATCTATCCATCCATCCATCCATTTATCTATCCATACATCCATCCATCTATCTATCCTTCCATCCAATGTTCGTTCAATTGTTCCCTCCCTCCCTCCCTCACTCTATCTATCTACCCACCCACAACAACTTCTAAAAGCAGTAACATACCTCTTTTTGTATGGTCAGTTTGACTTTTATTCTTTTCGAATGTGGTTCTGTCCATATGAAGCCTGCGTCAACTAAACGAACCTAAAATTTAGAATAAAAAATCATGAAAGAAAGAAAACGTCTTGGTTTTATGACAGCCTGATGCTAATATCTTCATGATCAGACTGAACTTTAAAGGTTAGAAAGGGAGATAATTAAATGAAGAAATTGGAAAAAAGAAAATTGAAAGTATAAAACCAACAATAATTATTGATTCTACTCATATCATGATTCCTACTCTAAAGACTAAACCTTTAACCACAGGTTATTGATCAAGACAAAACAACAACAACAAGTTGTTGTTTATAGTAGGTTAAGCTATATCATTCTGTGTACCTTTTTACTGCTATACACTTACTTTATTTAAACCTTTTAGTTTCTTTAAACAAATTGCAAGTAGCTCTCTAGATTCAAGTGAACATGTGACCCAGTTTGCAGGTGGTTGCAGATACCTAAAAATTGAAGCAATATTTATAAATAATGTCTTATACTGAAGTCCTTGGTGTACAGCTCTATGTGCCACAAAGGCATAGAGGATAATGAATGATTATTAAACTAAATAACAGCTGGTATAAATAAATGGGAAGGAGAGGGGGGGGGGGGGGGGGGGGGGGGTGAGGGTGGGTTGTAGATCCTGCCTTTTGGTAAAGCTGGACAGGAAAATATTAGTCTGACTTTCAAAATATTATGCTTGTTCTTGTTGTTTCGTCAATCAAATTCCCAATGTGGTCTGGTTGGTATTTTTTGATTGACAGTTCTAAGCTAAATACCAAGACGTCTTGTGCTTTCATGAATATGGCAGTAAATTAATCTGATAACTAAAGATGTCTACTTGCTGAGCAAATCATACTGAACAAGTTTAAAAATGAAATGATCATGATAATATCTAAGAACTATTCAAATTGGTAAAACTTCAAAAACTACAAACACATATTAAGTTTAAATTTTTTAGATATTTTCCATGTTTTTATATACACTGTACAAATTGTATGTACACATGATAAAGTAGGTCGTACACGTGAGTTGAGAAATATTTTTTTCTCTTTATAATTTCAATTACTTCAACAAAAAAATCCATAGAAACACCAGAAAAAATAATCCACAGCAACTAAAAATTCCATACTTACCGTTCACAACCCTTACAGAAGTATAGATTACTCTGTTTAGGGATTCCTTCTGTGATATCTACTTGTGTTCGTATACAACCGACGCACATGTTGGCCGTGTTCGGTGGTGTTGGGACGCCACACTGGCAGCAAAGACTGCGATTAATTCAATAATTTTGAGTTAGATTAATAGAATAGGGACATATGAAGGTGAAGGTTACTGGGGGGTGTGATTGGAGTATTTTATAAGGTCGTAAACTCACATCATTTGTTGTTGTTCTTCGCTGGGAATGACTTGTTCGTACTCCATGTTGGATCGGTGTGAAAAGTATGCTGGGATATGATTGCACAACAGATCAGCAATACCACAGGCAACCCAATAGTAACTTAAGGTGACTGGCTACTTTAGGTAAATTTTTTTTAAAAACTACGATGTTTTAAAGTAAAATTTTAAATAATAGTTCTTTGCACATTATATTATTGCACAAATACCAGCTAGTAAACCATACTATAATATCACGTGGTTATTTTTGACAAAAGGACAAAAAAAATGCATTGATTTGTGCCGCATATTTTGACCAGTTCAATGCTCTCAAAGTCGAAACAAAATCCCTACAAAAATCTTTTTTTTTCATGCGTTAGAAAAATTGTCTTTAAAAAATTGATATAACGTAGATTTTTAGAAGCTTAGAATTTTTTTAGAATGCAAAAATACTTGCAAAAAAAATACTGTTGAGTAGGCATAAGATTCAGTCCACCCATCCAGGTACTAACTTATATACCGGTCTTGACTCAGTGTCTTTGAAACCCAAGTTTTTTCCACTGGACCACGGTTCTAGGCGAATCAACATAACAATAGCCATGAAAACAATGCACCGAATAGACTAGACTTTTTAACATTATGCTTTCAACCGATTCCGTGCGTGGCAGAGATGCAAGGGATTAGCCGATATGGTCTGGGGGCCGGCTGGTCTCTCCCCTGATGCTTCGGCTAGAACATTTTCTTGCGTAATTCGTACACCCAAGGGCAGAAGGATTTAATCGCCGTCAGGTCCGAAGTCCATACGACGCCCCAGCTCTGCGGATGTCTCGGGGGTATGGCAAAGTGGAATCGATTTTTTTTTTTGAATTTCTGTCCTTGGTTTCGAACCCCAATATATTCAGATAATTTTTTTTAAAAAAGCATATTATCATATCATCTATTTGGCAATATATTTTTATGTTACTCCTTGTGACTCTGTGAATCTCAGAGAAGTCGTCTTCAAGCAAGTGAAGTGCTGTAATTTTCCTTTCTTTATGTGCAACCTGTGTTATTTCGATTTGCTCGCGCTTTTTAAAAGCAAGCACGCGCTGTCTATAGAACGTGTTTTGATTCCTTTCCTTTTGTTTGTTTTGTCCTTGCGCGTAACGCGCATTTGTACAGGAACACACGCGCATAACTCCGTTATGTTTCTATTTACCAAAACAGTTCCTGAAAACAATTTGTAATCTTAATTGTCTTAAGCATGTATCAATATGATATCAATCGTAGTAGGATGGGTATGGAAGGATTCACTAGAAAGGTGCCAAAAAAATCCAAACGTTATAGTTTGAATAGAAAAACACTAGAAAAGAAAATGTAAGTGTGCTTTAGTAAGATATCAATTTTTTTATTATGCGTCCTTTCTTACAACTTTTGTACATTTTTGAAAGCGGTGGGTTGGGTGCTACTTTTTCTTCAGCAGTACATCGATTTCGATATTGATTGTGTCCTTGAGTGAGTTTTGAGTCTATCTTTGAGGGGCGCAACGTCTGCACGTTTATGTGACCACTGTGGTCTGGCATGGAATGTCTGCATTCGTGTGATTTGCCATATTCTTTCTATATGCTGTTTTTTCTTCAATTTCTGGGATTGACTATCTCACGATATTTATGATATTTACTAGGTATCTTGCAAATAATGCCGTTTCGCGAAGCACTTTGCCCAAAGGGGATTATACAAGTGGAGTACGTATACCAGGAAATGCAAACATAGAACAATCTGGTAAGTGCTCCGGCGGTGTTAGTCATTGTATAGTGTTTTGGAAGTGCAGAGAATAGATAGAGCTGACTTGAAATTCGCGGTATTCAAGGGCGTTTTTAGTGGTAATACACTCTCTCATCTCACCTCTAGGATCTCGGGTTCGATTCTTAGACTAGGCTTCACATGTGAGTAGAATTTGTCGCCCTCCGCCCTGATACGAGTGTTTTTCTCCGGGTTCTCCAGTTTTCCTTTCTCCGCAAAACCAAACACACTAAATTCCAATACGATCTGTGCCTGTAGGCCGTGCCTAATTAACTTGATCAGCCTATAGCTAGGTTGTTTTTAGTTATTCTATAAAATTTGTTTAGAAATTTGAAGGAGACGTCCAAAAAACGCGATAGCATAATGCGCAAGGTGCTGAAGGCAAAAAACAAAAAACAAAAAACAACAACAACAAAACATGACAACACGATCAGTCTGAAACTTTTGTCTGCTCGCTCCAATTAGATTTTTTTCATTTTCAAATCCAATACGCTGAACCTACCCACTTAGGCATAATAGTGTAACATAAAACATGAATGACCAAAAAATGTAAGCATAATTTGGTCGATGCCAAAAATTTACGAATTTTGAATGCGTAGCTTTTAAGATATTTCCATAATTTGTCATAGATTCGTCAAATGTGCCAAACTCCACCATGAGTTGCGTACCCTTACCTCCAAGTATAAGCCAAGAACATTTCCTCGGTATTATTGGTGAACTGAACAAAGCTTTTATGAAGAACAACTGCAATGATCATGTATCAACTACTGAACTCGAAGCTAATCCTCAGATTATGTCACAGTTTTCAAATGGCAATGATATTCAGAACAACTCCAAGTTTATTGGAACACGTGGGACAAATGCACCTCTGCTACAAGCTCCCAGTAGTTGTATTAGTGGTACTTATGGTATTTCTTGTGTAAGCCAGAACTCGTACTTTTCACAATGTGAAGATACTTTTGGGTTAAGACAATTGGAGAGAAATATTAACCCTGTCGCTACAATAGCTTCTCAGAACGCATGCGCAGATGTATCAGGGATTATAAATAGTAACGGCAACTATATCCCACATGGGAATACTAGCAAAATGATTTTATCCAACTCGTTAAACGCAGGAAATCCTCGAGATCCTTGTAATGCGAACCCAATGTTCCCTCAAACTACCATTAGGGCACCTGTTCCACAAGGCATGTGCTCAGCGGTGCCCACCAACTATCCATGCGTAGAAAACAGACTTCCACATGATTGCGCAATGTTTATAGAAAGAGTACCACAGCAGAATGTATGGCATGGGGTGCAAATGCCCCCAACACCAAGCGTGATGGGATTCTGGGATACTCAGGGTACGACCTGTAATATACCCTTCATACAAAACATGTCCAATCAAGACATCAATCATTTGCCAAACTTTCCGTTGTTAAACTATCCTGTACCATATCAAGCGACAGTTAATACAGCTCCTGGTTATCAGATCTTGTGGTAAAAAATGGACCAAAATGAAGACGAAAAGGATCGTACGTTTCTGGGTGGCATTGCACAAGATTGGCCATGGATAACTAGAGATTTTAATATATTCAAACTAAAATGAAAATTATTCAGTCACTAATTCATAGTTCTCTAAAAGTTTATGAAATCTATATTGTTTAAATTTATACTTGCTTAAAGTTAGGGAAGGTAAATTTTTCTCTTGGGGGGAGGGCTGGGGAATTCACAGTCAGCGTTTTTAAAAATGGTTGCAGACCTCGTCCTTTCACGATTCAGTAAAGAACTCATAACCCTCCGATTACAGTCAAAACAGCTCATGCGTTCCTATCAAGGTTCAAACATTCATTTCATTATTGGAAGTTTGATTCCATCTTGCTTTGAAGCTTGCATTAATGAAACGAACGTTCTAAATCTCAATCCCGGTCTTTACCTCAAAACATCAAAATATTCAGTTGAGAAAGGATGTTTTTTGAAAAAAAAACAACAACAACAACAACAACAAAACAACAACAAAAAACCAAAAACAAAACAAAACAAAACAAAAACAACAACAACACACCAAACACTACTTTAAGATGGTTTCAACCATTTCCAAGAGAATTAAATAACAAAAGACATGGCGGCCATGTTGGATATAACAAAAGAATTTATTTACAATTCTTTTGTTAAGTTCCTCCAACATGGCCGCCGTGAAAACCATCAATTGTCGAAATGATTTTAGCTTTGCACGAATCTGTGAAGAACTAAATAAACTTTTAATCCGAGCCCAGAATTCAAATTCGCAACATTCGTTTCATTAATGCAAGCTTCAAAGCAAGATGGAAATCAAACTTCCAATAATGAAATGAATCTTTAGATCTTGATAGAAACATGATAGAAACACATGATCGAGCTGGTTTGACTGTAAGTCAACGATCGAGGAAACAAATAAAGGTTTATTCCTCCACAAAAAATCCAATTTTTACTGATGGCCCATGGTCTTCCCCTCTGAAGCCCCAATCCTCCACTCCCCCCTCCCCCCTCCCCCACAAATAAAAACGCACCTTTTCTTAAGGATGGATGCGCAATCACTTCTAAGAATTCTACAGTAATATTATAAGTAATATATATTATATCTAGAAATAAAAGCTAAGAATTGTAAAAAAAAATATGAAAAAACTATAAAAGACTGTCCAACTTTCTTTCCATCAGGAGAATATCAATCAATACCAATTCAAATAATTACTTCTACATTGAAATATTGTATGATGTGAAATTTAATTTCTTTCGCGAAGATCAAAAGATTTAAATATATAAGTCAAATAGTAATATTCGACAGTCAAATTTGTCTTTCTCAAAGTATCTCGATTCATTTATGACTGCAAACATTCTGGTGTAATTCTTTTATTAAAATAATGGGTTCATTCACACGAAGATTAGCGGGGGTTTCCTAAGTCTTCCCCACAGCCGCTTTCAGTGTCGTCACGCATCGCTTTCTCCCCTGAGTAGCTAGCAAAGCGCACAAGCACAAGCGTTGCGTGACGACACTGAAAGCGGCTGTGGGGGAGACTAGGGTTTCGTATGATTAATATAAGACAAAAACGGCATCTTCGTTTCTGCTCTATGATTTTAACCAGTATTGGTTACAATAATAGAGTATTCTTATCAACGGCCCGTTCAATCAAGGAAAAAAAAAAAGAATATTCTTCGTTTGTGCAAGACGCCATCTTGGTCGAACTAAAAAAAATTTGTTTCATTTTTTAAAAATCAAATTGCTGATTGAAAACTGACTGTTAACGATTCGTTCAAAAATGCAGATGTCAACATGTATTTTTATGGATGTGACGTGGGAAAAATACAGCATTCCATCCGCTCTAAGCCAATCAACTTTTGAGAAAATACATTTTACCCAATCACGTTGCTGCGTACATTTTCATTTAATTACTATCATCAACATTAAAATGGTTTCCATATATAAACCAATTTGATAGCGATAAGAAATTGGCCAATCCAATTAGAGATCTGCATGCTTATCTGGCCTATAAAACTACAGTTAATATCGCTAGAAAAAAAAATGGCAGTCATTTTGAATGAAAAATGATTGACTCTAACAATCTAACTAGCTTAACACACCTAATGCGATATCCCGATGGTAAATAAAGAAAGACATTATTCAAAGCAATTTCCCATCTGTTAAGCTGTGTTTGAATGTGCAACAACTTGTCTGTTCGCCTTTTATTAAAGCAAACACATGTTTAGCATACGAAATAATTGTTGAAAACCGTTAATATAAAGGGCACTTAACTTGGATGAAAACTTAACATGACTCGATACTTGGTTAAACTTATTTATATGGCCCCGATAGTCTTCATACTATTTTTTTTTTCCAGAGACTACATAAATTATATTAATTGAGAAAAAAATTCATTGAGTTCGTAGTCCTCCTTAATAATTACGATGAATATTGCAAATACCTTTTAGAAGAATGATCTAGAAATATCGAGTGAAAAAGACTCCCTTGATACAGCAAAGGATAAAAAAAATTTATGATGATGATGATGATGATAATAATAATTATTATTATTATTTAGACACGATAAGTTTGACAGCGTTGTTGATGTGGTCGTATATTTAATTACAAATATAATATCCCTATAATATATATCCTAATATCTCTTTCTCTCTACTCTCTCAATACTGTCTGCCGACTCGGCTTTCGTTTAAGCGCAATGCCCTAGTACTCCTACCCAAGATATAGAGGAATGGTTTTGGGGGACAAAGCAATGGATGAAATAGAAAACGCGCGCGCGTGCTGTGTGCAGTCATAAAGCACGCGAGGTCGTCAGAACACGAGAGACGTGTTAGGACAAGCACGACGCGTAGCGGAGTGCTTCTCGACACTTCTTGAATGTTTCTGCCAATTCCCAAGTGCTCTATAACTCCACACAGCAGAGTAAGCAAGTTTTTTATTTCTTTTATAAAATACAAATTTTTTTTGGATAGGAATGACGCAACTGAAAGTGCGCGCGCGTGCTGTATGTTCTCATAAAGCACGCGCTCCCAGCCAATCAGAACGCAAGATAAATAAAAGTTATTTTATGAAAGAAAAGATTGCCTATTGTTTTGTCCCCCAGAATAATTCTTCTAGGAAATCAATAACTTACCCTTCAACTATATTTACCGACCCATATCTAGATCACTTAGATGCTGCAAAGTTGATCAATGCCAAGATCAATCTCCTCTCACCTGCTCTATATGAATGTTTCATTAGATTGTAATCCAGCTCAATCTCTTCAAATCCCATTGATCAATACAACTAAACGCTAGACAATACTGCGAGACCTTATCCAACCAAGGTGTGATAAAAATCTAATCTTTTCCGTTAATAGCACAGCAGTGGGGAAAAGACGAGAAAAAAATCTCAAAAACACTCTCTATAGGGTGCTCAGTTGGATATAGATTTTGTATCACTCTTCTTTCAGTGGACACTGAAACATAGGATTGTTTAACTACAGTCAAACATCATTCGCTCTTATTTATTTGGCGCAAGAAACAGAGAGCGACAGAGTTGAACGAAATTTAAGGTAATCAGTTTTTTGCATCACCGTTTACTCTCAAAGGCAGCTAGCCAAAACTTAGAAATATCTTATTATATTGTTTTATACTCTCGGTCACTCCAGCTAGCTACTTGTACGTACGTAGCTAAAAGAGGATTTCTTAGAATTCTTCAACATTTAGAGGTAAAGTTGGTGTGATTTTTCTTCATCAGTCAGGTTTTTTCTTCAGTTTTTAATCCATACAGTATACAAACAAAAAAGTGCCTTCATTTCCACTGTGTAATCAATGGCGTTAGTCACATTTCTTCTAGATCCTTTGCGCTTTCAATTCTGGCAACGGACGACAGGTCTATTTATTATTCATTTATTACAAAATCTGAATTATATCGTTTTCCATATCTTCTTATCATTTTCATCTTAAAATATCCCAGACTAGTACAATCGGTAAACGGTCCTCTTTTCTAAAGATTTATTTTCGACTGTCCTTTATCATATCTATATATTTTAATATTTTTATTCATATATTTTAAATGTTGAATAAGTGAAGATTTCATTGAGTTGGTCACCCTTAAATGGTATCTAAGGCAAACATGGCATTAAGACACTTTTGGGTGTTATGATAAAGGCTTTGGAAATACAAATGCTTCCACCTTTTCGCCACTTTCATGTGCAAATTGAACCTTGAAAAAACCTCTGGACAGCTTTCTTGGTTGATCCCAGTCAGGACACGGCTAACACACTCGACTAAGATGGAATTGGAATTTAGCGTGTTGGGCTTTGCGGAGGAAGGAAAATTAAAGCGTAGACCTCGAAGGAAACCTTCAAATGGAGCCCTCTCTTTCATTTCATTTTTAGATCCAAAGATTAAAGAAAAGAAAAGAAAAGAAAAGAAAAGAAAAGAAAAGAAAAGAAAAGAAAAGAANAAAAGAAAAGAAAAGAAAAGAAAAGAAAAGAAAAGAAAAGAAAAGAAAAGAAAGAAAAAAAAGAAGGAAATGGCCGTTATTTTTTTGGGTTCAAAATACGAGTTGTTTTGAGTATATAAATCATTACAAGTCACTACTTACAAAAGACGATGCTACGCAAGCAGCTGACGGGAATAAAAAATTGAATTTAAGGACTAAGACTTAAGAATTAACATTTCAATATCCATGTCTAAATACTTAAGTTTCTTTCGTTAATATCAGCAATTAGTCGTTACGATTCACGTTGATAATGACGAATATTTCCCCCCCAGACATTTTTTTAGCCCTTAATCCTTTTACCAGCTAAATATATTTTTATTTATGACTTATATTTATGTGTGAACTATTCTTATTTCCAGCATGTTGCTTGAGAAACATGTCTTGATCTTTGGGACATTTCTCATCCATGTTCCTGGTTTCCTAGCCGTCCTATCCGTACCACAACAGCCGTGTCGCTCACCTTGTATAAGGAATGCGTTATTCAAGGAATACCAAAAAGGCAAGTTGCAATATTTTAATTCTAAATAAAAAATGCAAGATCACGTCTCACTCTCTTGAGAATAATTAAGATTCTTTGTTTTGGTTTGAGTTGTATCTGTTTTGGCGTGTCTTCACTTATGAGCAACCGCTATACATAATATCTCTTTGGCCTTTTACTTGTGAGCAAACAAATTAACGGACGAAAATAAATCGTAAAATTTTGACACTTTTCTTTCGAATATCAGAAAGATGTTTCGGTGAGTGATTATCAATGTATCCAAGATTATTTCAACAAAGTTCCAGCTCGAAGGGAAAGAGTTTTGATTTTGGAGCGATTTTTGTTCAAGTGCCTATTAAGGCACAGAAATTATACTCAAGAAATGATAGATGGTTTGTAATGAATTGAAAAACATTGCGGCCAAGCTTAAGAGGTGTATTCAGATGGATGGATGGATGGACGGACGGACGGAAGGATGGATGGATGGATGGATGGATGGATTAATAATTGATTACTTTATATTGATTTAGATTTTGTTCTACGAGGACACGTTATTGCCACATTCCGTGTCCCCTCACCCCTCTATTGTACATACAAATGCATCGAGGAGCCACGTTGCAAGTCCATCAATTGTGAAAACATCACCTCCAATAAACCAACCATACTTTGTGAACTGAACTACGAAACAAAAACAACCAAGCCTGCATTCTATGTGCGAAGGACTGGGCATACATACCATGATGCAATAGGTCCTGGAAGTGGATGGTGTGACAGCGTTTGTCCTTCACCTTACAATACATTACTTTGTCCCCCTGGCTTCTCAGGGGCAGGTTGTCAAACACCAAGTAAGTAAGAAGTTTCAGATTTTTAATTGCCGATAGCTTCACAGGGGACCATTCATTATTTAAATCGGAGGGGAAAATGGGGTACCCTCAAATATTTCTTAGTGGAATTGTACATGGGGGGCTAAAGGTGAAAAGGAGGATTGGGAGGATTTTTTAAACGATTGAAGGGGGGTACCCGAAAAACATGAATGCCATTACACTGGTCCCGAGTTATGCATCGTTGCTTAGAAGCTACAATGTCATTAATATATGGAAAATATGATATCACTTGAACTTGGTAAGCAGGACATGATATAAAGTTCATTTGCTGGGAACGTCACGCAATTAAAGCATTATTGCCGAGATCGATTGCCGCGGCATTTGTTGCAAATCATATGCAAAACTCACTACCTATAATTTTAAAATGTTGTGCGCAGCTATTAAAGTTGTGTTACACTATAGCGTTGACTTGCCTCAAGCGACCTCTCTTGTTTCAGCAGAGCAGTTTTTACTCTTCATCCAATCAAATGCTCGAAACACGGCACGATTACGGCGCGGACACGGTCACGCCAAAGTTATGGCACTGCCAGACCAATCGCATTGCACGGTCACGGCACGGCACGCAGACGGAACTGCTCTATACAAGTTTGTTTCACGAGAATTAAGTACGTAAAACTGATCAACCTTTGTTGCGAATATTTTTACCTTCGACAGTGAAGTCCTGTAAAGACTGGCTTAACCACGGCTTCAGCAAAGATGGAATATACCACGTGGTCCTAGAAAGCCACAAAACGTTTCCAGTCTACTGTGATCAAACGACGGACGGTGGGGGTTGGGCTGTGATCCAAAGGCGGGAAGACGGCACGGTTGATTTTTATCGTGGATGGAACGAGTACAAAACCGGTTTCGGTGACCTGAACGCAGAGTTCTGGCTTGGAAATGATCTTATTCATATTTTAACTGCTTCTGGTGAAACAGAACTAAGGGTGGAACTAGAAACATTTGCAGGCCATGAAGCCTATGCGAAATACAACAGCTTCAACATTTCTAACGAAGAGAGTAATTACACTCTAAGTGCCTCTGGGTACAATGGTACTGCTGGGGATTCTCTTGGATTAGAATCCGGAAATACCGTCATGAATACCATAAACAATCAGATGGCGTTCTCAACATGGGATAGGGATCATGATCAACACAGTGGAAATGGGAGTTGTGCACTAGAGAACAAAGGAGCTTGGTGGTTCAATAGCTGTTATTGGTCACATCTGAATGGTCCATACAAGGGTCAAGGAGAGATATATGGGATAAATTGGTACTCTTTTGTCGTGTCTAACTACGAGAGTCTTAAAAAATGCAGCATGAAAATAAGACCAGCAGCATAATCAGCCATTTTTACAGTGCGACGCGCCTAACCGTACTCTTTGCAACAAAAACTTAAATAAATGGCTAGGAATTTGCCTATAGGGGATACCTATTTTGATTACTTTTCTGGCTAACACTGGAATCTTTCGTACAAATTATTTTAATTGACGGAAACACTTGGCGGGAAAGGATTCAACGGCATTGGTAGAGAAATAAGTTGGGTGGCCATAGTTAGGCGCGTCGCCGCTGTAGTTGTTATGAAAATGGTTGAAGAGAATAGAGTGTTAACTCGATTTTGTTTGCGTCTCCACATGATCATTTAACAAACAGCTAGTTGCACGGCCACAACATTTTCTTCTCATATTTGTTGTACAACAAACCGCTATTCATTGGACACCCTTTTGTAAGTGTGCACCAGTGAAGGTGTCCCCTTAATATACGCGTACCACTGTACTCACTGTAAAACAAACTTCTATTCAGTAGACAACCCTTTATTAAGCAGACACTATGCAGACAAGGTCCTTGTTATCCATGGTTGTAATCAGGTTCGGCTCATGTGAAGTTCGACGTTTGACCTGATCCTAACAGGATGTATGTATGAAATGCTTCGATTGGAGAAGTCGGTACTTGCACAACGCTACTACAGAGAAAGAAATAACATAAAAGGGAATGTCATGTAATGCGTTCAAAGCAAAGAAGCAATACACCTTGCATTTCAGAATCAATAGATATTCAATCATCGAGTCATTTTTTGAACGTAAAGGATTATTTTCTAATTATACATGGTTCTGTTAATTTGGTCTCAAGCCTTTTAATTCTCGATCATTATTGGCGGTAGAGGTGTTATATAGATAGCGAAGGGAAGGGGAGGTTCAGTCGAGTGTTTTTCATTCATAAAAAAATAAAGTATGAATGTAGGGAATGTCTTTTTTTATTCGTTTTATTTTCTGGGGGTAGTGGTGTTATAGATAGCGTAGGGAAGGGGAGGTGAAGTAATTCGAGTGTTTTTTATTCATAAAAAATGAAGTATTAATACAGGGATGGGTTTTTTTCATTCGTTTTATTTTCTTAACTTATCTTCACATGTTGAACTGCGAGCAAATAAATCGATCAAAGTGATAATTCATCCAGAAAAGAACACAAAGGTTTGATGTACGACAAAAAGAAAACAATATATTCATGCTGCCTGTTCGTGCGCTATCTAAATGATTCTTCGCTATTAAACAATCTCATATTGTCAATGTTTTACAGAGTAATGAATGAAATGATAGCTCAGCCCTTGTCTGTACTTGAAGTTATGAAAAACTCAGTCCCTAGAAAGCTTTCAGCTACTATTTCATTACATATTACAATGACATTACAATGTCTTTGTCTTCATTTGATACTTGTCTTGTTTGTCCGATCTATAATGATTTATGATGACCAAATACTTCAATTTATTCTTACAGTATGACATCAAACGAAATGAAATATCCGGCGCTTCTATGACACTTAGTGCTTTAGAAAACAACAAGAAACTTCAAATTCAAGAAAGTATGACGCAGTAGCTTTGTGTTTTATCTCGAAGTATATTGTATCTGGTTTAGTTTTTAATCAACTTTTATTAATTTGCTATAAATTAATTTTGTAATGTTTGTTTTTACTTTGGAGAAGCTTTTATTCTTTTGCAGCAATTTCAATTTATTTTCAACTATCATAATTTCTTTGCAGCAGCTTTTATTTGTTTGCAGTTGTCCCCTATGGGCCATCGTACTACTCTTCCGTATGAGCATATAAATGTCGAGAAAAGAATCTGCAATATATATACATACAGTATTAAATTCAAACTTTAAAAAGTATCTACTTAGATTAGCCGGTAGATAAAAATCTGTAAATCTATAAAAAGTACTAATTGTAGCTAAATAGTATCATCGAAGCAATAAAAAAGCTGGGCTACTTTTCATACGTTTGGTTCTATTTTTTGCGCATGCGTAGTCTGTACCGGACGTAATCTAGGCTGCTTACGACGATGACGCCTTCTTTGATTGATAGCACTTTTCTGAGAGACAGGAAGACATCACATACCTTTTAGACTAGTTGTGAGACAGTTTGTTTAACCCTTGTTTAAAAGTGTGGTATTACAGGTATTGTATTTGTACTGACTGCTATTTCTTTATCTCAACTTCTTCAAGATCCCTTCTGCCTTTCTTCCTTTTGCAATTTGCCTTCCTCAGTAAAGAGCAAGCACGCACTCCCCATCATGTGCTATCAAACAAAGAGTATTCTTTTTTCTAGGTATCGATGAGCTGAATGAATCTCATTACTAGCCTACAATGACAGTCAAACACAGCCCTTCATATGCTATCAAACAAAGAGTATTCTTTTTTCTAGGTATCGATGAGCTGAATGAATCTCATGAATCTCATTATAAGGCTACAATGACAGTCAAACGTAATACCACCCGTCATGTGCTATCAACTAGGGAGTATTCTTGTCCTAGGTATAGATGAGCTGAATGAATCTCATGAATCTCATTATAAGGCTACAATGACAGTCAAACGTAATACCTCCCGTCATGTGCTATCAACTAGGGAGTATTCTTGTCCTAGGTATAGATGAGCTGTATGAATCTCATGAATCTCATTATAAGGCTACAATGACAGGCAAACACCTCCCGTCATGTGCTATCAACTAGGGAGTATTCTTGTCCTAGGTATAGATGAGGTGTATGAATCTCATGAATCTCATTATCTCAAGGCTACAATGACAGTCAAACGTAATACCTCCCGTCATGTACTATCAATTCAGCCAGAGAGTATTTTATTGCTTAGCTAAATGAATAGATCAGCTGAATGAATCTCATGAATCTCATTACCAGCCTATAATAACAGACAAACACTGCCCGTCATGTGCTATCAACCAGAGAGTATTCTATTGCTTGGTATCAATCAGCTGAATGAATCTCATGAATCTAATGAATACCATTACCAGCCTACAACGACAGGCAAGCACTGCCTATACTGATCCCATTGCTTTGCATCAGGGACAAACACCGTCTTCCATGTTCGATTCAATCATCCATAAGTTCTTCCATTGAATAACTTGTCATACAGCTGGTAAAAATTACACACGAGACCCGAAACGTTTGCTGATTAGTTGTCGTGATAGGTTAAATAAGATCTATATAACAATATTTAAATAGCGCAATCGACTCATATAGAGTTTTTTGCTTCAATATCAATTTCCCAGTTAATTGCCCTTTGCCAGGTTATTTTACTGTTTAGTTCTAGTATAGGAAATCGCATGTGGACAAAGTTCAAAAGTAAATTTCATCTGCGTTTTTAGCCGTGCACTGACTTTGATCAAACCAGAGGTTGTTTCAAGATTCCATAAAATCCTTTTTCTTTTGTGTAGAAGTAGTTTATCAGTTCGATGCCTTCAAGCTACCGAAATGAGATCGAAGAAGCGTAGCTGAAATCGTTTTTTCTTGCATTGAGTGCATGAAAATATTTTTGTCCCAAAAAATTCTGCAAATGCGCAGTACTGATTATTCATGATTTTGATTCACGATTTTCACTAGAATAATCGGCTTGACTATAGTTTTTCTTCGTAAGATTTTCTTGAACCCAATTCTATAACTGGAGCTCTGGAAAGCGTATACCATGGGATTCAGACTCGAGCTGAGAGTAACGAAAATTTCGAACACTCTCAAAATGATGGAGAAAACTCTTTCATCCTGAACAATATTTTGGCGGTTTTTGGTTACTAGATAAAGCATAAATACAGCATAGGGACCAAAGCAGACGTAAAACACGATGGTTACTGTCATGCAAAGTTTCGCCAGCTTCTTTTTGATAATATTATCTCTTACTCCCGTATTGCCCGCGCAGATAGTGTTAGTAACAAAAAGCCCATGGAGAATTTGAAAATAGCAGAACGAAAGAACAAAGAATGGTAAAATACCAAGACAAATGATAGTACTAGCTATTTGGATCTTTTGTTTGCTCACTAGTTCAAGGCTAAAAGGACAGAGGCATTTTTGGTAGCGTTCGTTGAAGCGATTCTCGAAAAAGTCAGGGATACTGATGATGATAGCAAGCACCCAAACGCCTTTCAGCACAAAAGGGAGAGTTTGCTTCGTGATTTTGAACTGCTTCATTGTATTCACAAGTGCATTGTAGCGCTCAATTGCAAGTAGCATTAGCGTCAATATAGCGGCAGCTAGAGCAATACTGATGATGGCATTTCCCGTGTATAACTCGCATAACAGGTCACCAACAGCTCCTCTTGGGTGAACAGAGTAAATTAAGAATCCAAACGAACGCGGATTCCAGAGAAGAATGACAATGTCTGCAGCAGCAAGATTTACCAGCAGAAAGTTCGTCGTCGTGTGCATGTTGCGTGTTCTTCTGACAACGCTAATTACGAGGGAATTCCCAATGATTCCGATTACTGCAATTATCATAAAAGGAAACGCGGAGCCAATGTCTAGAGCGTTGATCGAATATACAGGGAAATCCTGATCGCTTTTGGAATTATTTCTCTGCATGATTCGCTTTTGGAGTGTCGTGCCTCTATTCTTCCATCTAGACTTTCTCAGTGTAGCAAAAGAGTGGATTCGGACTCAAACATTCATAAAGTACAAAGCTTAGTGTCGCAATGTTATCGCCGTTTCAAGAAAAGCCTCTTGTTAGTTGGATATATAAGACAAGTAAAACTAAATACGTTTCTAATGCAAGGCTTGCTGGCATTTTAAAGCCGCTTCAGACCTGAGATGAGTTATAGTCAGTGCTGCATTGTGACTTTAAAAAAAAAAAACCAGTTTCCGTGAATATTTTCAAGTTGTCATTAACTTCACCATAAGTGCCAAAAGACCTATTCAAAGGGATTCTTACTTCAGTGAATGCGTTCAATATACTTGTTTCCGATAACATCTTCAATTTCTCATTCAACCATCGATCTCCTCATTGGTTGGGGATTCCGTGCTGTCTAGCTTAATTGCTTTTTGCATATAGCATTCACCAAGCTGAATGAGATTAGATAAAAACTTCTAGAGAGCAGTAAGCGACCAAGAATCAAGACTATTAGACTTGTATTCTTTGAACTTTTAACTTCCAACAAAATTATCAAGTGGGTTTTGTTTTTCGAAAGTTCATTATTAACTTCAGTAAATTGTATTAGCACTTTGCTTCAAGTTTTGCGATAGAAATATGATATTTCATCAGATAAAGTGATGACACATGTTGTCAGTTATTCTTCTAAATAAATCCTCTGTTAATATGGAAATATATTTCAACTGTTAACACCTTTAGTGACAAAAAAAGGTTTCTGCAAGATATATAACCAAATGCGCAAAGAAAAAAAAAGAAGAAAAAAAAAGAAGAAAAAAAAAAGAGGTTACATTAGCAGGTAACAGAAGCCAAAAAAAAAATCGTGTGTCTATTAATAATAATTTAATGATATATCCCAACCATTCTCCCCGTAACAGGCTCTTCCGTGAGGAGGGTTATTCTCCACACATAAGACAATCAAAATTTGACTTTTAAAGATGGAGAAATTGAAGACCGTAGAATTGAACCCGGAGAAGAACCCTCACGTCAAGGAATAGAATATTTACCAGAACACGTTTTCTGAAGTGGCCATTTGAACTAACATGTCACGTGTCACCATAGCCCCTCAAACTGACCAGTCAAGTGTCAAAATAGCTCAAATATAATGAACATCTGGATATATACAAGGCAAAGATTCAGCACATAGTATGTTGACTATAGGATGAATAGATTTGAATATAAAATGAAATATTTTATAAGGATTTGTATTGGAAAAATGTATTGACTTTGAAACGCAGAATTTTTTTCTGTTTCAGTGCACATGATGATTCATGAGTTATCGATATCTGCTGTTGTTCTATTGCCATGTCGATGTCATTTAACAAAAGGTTTCTCTTTCGCATCCATTGTTAACCGCAGCAAGATGTCCGCCATGTTTTTGACTACTGAATGGAATGACTTTAAGCGCGTAATATGAAAAGGTAATGCTAGCTACGACTACTGAAGCCAAATAAATACGAGCCACTAGCTTCTCAGTTTCATTCTGCTAATCAAAATTAATGTAAGTTAAATATCTGCAAGTGAGGAAATCGAAATATCAAGAAGAGATCAAAGAATTTGAAAATTGGAAAATATCTCAAGAGGGGCGCACAGGAAAGAGTAATTGCATCATGGAATAATATTAGCGATACCGGCCAAGGCCATTATAATCACAGTGGGTATAAGATCCCTTTTTTAGCTCCAGGGCATTAGGCATTGTTCCTAATGAGAACTCTTCAGCTTGGGCGTAATGCTTCCCGATTTCAGGCACGTATCATTCCAAATAGTATCATTTCTTTGTTTAATGGTTGCGCATGAGAAGACAAATCAATTTGGACACAACACAAACAAGGAACCAAGAGAATGGCAAGTGGTCTGGAATGGAAAAACATTACCAAAGCAATTAAATTTATGTCTTATTTTTCCTTGTTCATGTTTAAAAGGTAACACACGAAGTGTTATTTCCTTTACGCTATAAAATTAATATTCAAGATCTAATTTGTTCAACTTCGTCGTAACAAACGGAAATCGAGAAAATTGAATTAAATTTAAAACTAAAAAGAAGCACGCATCAATCACCTACTGTCTGCGCTGTTACAGTAGACCAATACCATACACTTATTGGATTCACCCGAGCCCATTATGGCAGAATATTGAAGTCGAGCTAGCCTTCAACAAACCGGTCCAGCCAAATATTAAAGTCTAGACTTAAATATCTGCCATAATGGGGGAGGATGAACCAATGGGTGTTTCATTATGGTGTTTTCGGTTTTATTAGTGCCATAACAATAAATATTATTTGCAGTCCAATAGGTTGCTGCCCAATATCGCGAAATAATAGATCACCACGTGACTAAGATACAGAGATGTGATTGGATGATCATTTGTGAGGTATTATTGATTTTAAAAATTAGTTTTATCGAGCATTAAAACACAAATTTTCAATCCCTTGATATTATATTTACCGGGGGGGGGGGGGGGGTAAATTTATTTGTTTTAAGTGCATCCATATTAATGTTTCATTGCAAGGGTTACTGTTTAATTTAGCAAAAAAAATAAAAAAATAAATAAAGAATCATATATTGTAAAGAAATATAAAACGCGCGCGCATGTCTCTGCACTGTAATATAAACACGCTGGGAACTAGCAAGCAGTAGCTGAGTGTTTACTAGGGATCTCACCGAACTGTAACGACACGTCAAAAATTTGTCTAGCTACCACACCCTAATTGCCCTATTTCACTATGACGTCACATCAAAACAATCTATTGTTTAAATGCAAAGGATCATGGTCGTCGGACGGGGTCAAATCAACGCAAATTCACCGAAAATTGTTTTAAACCCGGTATCAATCCATAGAGAAGTAGAATAGCCAGCAAACGCTCAGAATATTTTTTAGTACAAATTAACACATATTATATCTGAAAACAAGGCCATTTTAGATTAAACTGTTTCGCTAGGAGCAAATTTTGTTGAATTTTCTATTGGATTTGGCGATTCTATCCCCCACATAAACAAGCAGTGACGTCATAGTGAAATAGGGCAATTCGTCTACTGACACGCCTACTTTTGTTACAGCAGTGCGTTCGAGCGTAAAATTGTAGAAACATGAATACCTTACTGGTAATGTGCTAGATCCGAGACAGTGACAAAAGTAGGCGTGTCAGTAGACAACTTTGGGCGTGGTAGCGAGACAAATTTTTGACGTGTCGCCACAGTTCAGTGAGATCCGTATTATATTACAGTACAGAGACATAAGAAGCCGCATCATGGACAAATATTTGGTATTCGAAAGTACAACCACATGACTCAAAATCCTTCGATATAAAAAATAACAATTAAACAGCCGCCATGTTGGTTGAATGATAATAATGAATGCTAATGCGCACAGTGATGTCGCTATTTAGATAATTTTCTACTTCCTTAGATCACTCCTTACCTCTCTAGAGTTACCAACATCATTACAAGTTGTTTAGGAGACTTGTTCAGCATTTTCAGATTCCATTACGCTAGGCACCACTTTAACTTGTCCACTCTTGGTAGACGTCAATCGAAATAACACAAACTCACCTTAGCTCACACGCAGGAACAAAGTCTATCCCGTTCAAGACTCAGAGTCTTTCTATTTGCAGCTACATAAGTTGCTTGAATTACTGCGAGGATCAGCTCAATTTGTTACATTACATTATATAATTTATAAATTCTCATATACAAAGTCTATACCATAGACAATATATATTGCTGTTTGGGGTAAGTAAAGCTCTGGCTGTTTTGACCAAACTTTGAACAAATATGAATCTCGTTTGCATACTGACACTACGATTGCACGTGGGTATTGTACTGCAAAGTTCTGTTTGCAAGAATGTAAATTTTCAGCTAAATCGGCTTTACCATGGTAACGGTTACCATTACCTTTCTCTTTGATTTGACGAGGCTTCATTTATTATCCATATTTTTTTTCTTTTTGGGTTTTCCTTTCATTACTTGTTATAACTTCTTAAGAAAAGTGCCTACTGTAAAATAGTCTTTGAAGGACAAAAACCAAAACAACAACAAAAACAACAAAAACAACCAAACGAACAAACAAACAAACAAAAACAAAGAACAGACCTCAATTTTATTTTTACCCCAAGTGAGTTTGCGCGTAACCATATACTGGTTACTTTAAGTTTTCAAAACGCATCCCACATGGAAAGAAGTGTCGTTGGGAGTTTACCGAACAGCGATACTATCGAGAAAATTGGGTCTGCTGGTCAAAGCAAGGGGTTAATCATCTTTTGCAAGTAAGCTCACGATTGCCGATAGTTG